GCACTAGTAGACACTGATATATCATACCGTTAAAATCTTAATTTAACAATTAAAATAATAGTATCTACTAATAATTATAAAGCACAAATTCTATCGTAAAAGTTCCTTAATCTTTATTAAAAAAAAAAAAGGAAAGAAAAGAAACGGCCTACGAAACTATTTGAGCACTTCTATCTTCTATTTTTATTATCTTTAATCCTATATAAAAAAGAGATTTTGGGAATGAATAAAAAAAGAAATAAGAGATTTTTTTTTAAGCATTAGAAGGTGGGCAGATAGTGCAGAGAGCCTCAAAACCCGGATACAAAGAGTTAAAAATGCTTTTGGACCAAGGCAAAACCTAAGGGCTAATCCGAAAACATACAAAAAGGGGTTATGCAAAAAAAAATGAAAGATTTTTGAGGTGGGAAGAAAAGAAAAAGATAATAAAAGAAAAAAAGAGCAAAAAAAGCAGATTGGCAGAGAGTTCGGCGGGAGTGTGTTTGCATTTGATTTGATTTTGTTTTTTCTCTTTTCTTTTTCTTTTTGGATTCTCTATTACAGTACAAAAAGATAACAATGAAAATTTAATTTAGAATAAAGAGATTAAAAAAATAAACCCACTAGAAAACAAGCTAAAATATAGTAAGAAATTCGATGGCTTTCATAATTGAAGGCCAAAATTTTGTCCACGGTCAAACTGTGTTTTAAATGAGTTCTTTTTAAAGTAATATTGGTTGGGTTTGTGGTCAGTGAAACGAATCATTCCTCACGTTCGCCACCCAATTTTATATTATTACTTCATGATCACCTCTCACATGACTCCTTTTTTATTTTATTATATTTTCTTTACAATTATTTTTTTAGTTGCACACTATTATTGTCATTTTTTTTTTTGCGGTTTAATTTTATTTTATTGTATTTACATTCTGTGTGTGAAAAAAGCACGGTATCTGATTTCAAATCATTTGAAACATGTGTTTCTTTATGTGGACATGTGGGTCCTACGTGATTGCTATAATTCTCAACCTTTGATATATAGATAGAATTTTCAATTTTGGTTATCATGGGGTCCTACGGTGAATTGTATCACAATGGTTTATTCCTTTCTTTTTGAAGCAACTTTTTTTTTTTTTAACCAAAAAAGAACTTGAACTGATTAGACAAAAAATGCAATCATTTTGACAGTCTATTGCTAGTCCCACTATTTCAATTTGTTGCATGAAAATGTTATGGAAACCCCTAGGATTAGGCCTAAAGTGCTAAAGATCTTGGTCTTGGAGAATATTGTCCTCTCTGAAGTCTATCAATTCGAATTATTTCGAGTGCAAATCTCTTAACGGTATTGTTAAAATATAAAAATTATTAATAGTTTAAATTTTTAAGATAAATTGATAAATTAACACGGTATAGATAGATTTTAATTTATAAGGAATGATATAATTTCTCAATAGTATGAGGCATTTCGGGGTAAGGTCTAAAAATAAAACCGTGCAGGTTCAAACTCAAAACGGATAATATCATACCAAGTAAGAGTGCAAGTCGTTAGACTCTACCCAGCCATAAATGTGACCAATGAGGACGTTGAGCCCCCATAAAGAGGGGTGATTGTGACAATCATCAATCTTTTAAGGCACAAAGTTAAGAAATGATAAATTATCCAGTCTTACATTGTATGAGGACGAAGATAAATTTTGATTTATAAAAAATGATACTACATGAGGCTTTTGGAGTTTAATGTAAAAAATTAATGACTTGTTCTGATATGTATAAAAGAGCTTCTGAGAACACAGTACACCAGCATGATAAAACCAGTGAGGATGTGCATAAACCGCTCCGCACATTCATTATTAACAAAAAAAAAAAAAAAAAAAAAACTTCAACAAGATTTTTCAAACTATAATCGTATATAAGTTCAACTTTTATATCAGAGATATTATGACGTAACTCTTTGCCTATTCTTAATTTCTTTTTGGCATTCCACAAGAGATATTATGTATGAATGTGAACAGTAAAATTATACTAGATTCAATGAGCATCTAATTAAGATAAATTGAAATGAAAGTCGATTATTATTTTTTCCTGGATAAAAAAAAAAGAGAATCAGTAGTGTCATAACGCGCCAACGCAGAGGTACTAAATTATCTTTTTTGCCTTTCTTGTATTTCTCCTTATGTTTTTAAAGAAAATGAAAAAAAAAGACCATGTTGAACACTATACGAATATAAAGAAGCGTTTGATTAAAAAATTAAAGAAAATTTATTATATTTTTTAACCTGAGAAAAATTATATTTCTGTCACCTCAAGTAATATATCGACCCCACATAGAACTATTAGTAAAATTTATTCCTTAAAAAAAATAAAATCATTTCACGTAGAGTGGTTGTAACATTAACTTTTACTGCTCAATTGGTAATTCAAATCCTCTCGCATTTGAAATTAAACAAGAATATTGTAGGTGAAATGTGCACCTAATTCAATAAATTATTTTACATTTCCGTTAATTAAGCTGCAGAGCATTGTACGTGAAATACTTAAGGTAAAAAATTATTAAAAAAATATATAAAAAATTATTTCATCAAGAGCTGACACGTGCCATTGCACGTGCCAACTCCCAAATGCATGAACACGAGAAGCTGGCACAAGATGCTGCAGTCAGCAGTCGGCACAACTGTAAGGGCGGTGGCCTAAAACACACGTGACATCTAAATCTTGTTCTTCTTCACACGTGCGGTCATGACATAAGATTGACCAGTGATATATATATATATATATATTAAATATTGTATGTGGGAATATATTATAATTACATAATGTTAGGCTTAATCAAAAGGGATTCTCTTTTTAATAAAAATTCTTGTTGCAGAAGAACAATGTGACAAGATTTCTTTTTTTTTTTCCTGTCCAAAATTCTTTTCCAATAAACTCTTTTGTCCCAAGAATAATGTTAAAATTTCTTTTTTGTGATTGGTTGAAAAGGAGGAAAGAAAACCAAAACCATGGCATGGATTAAAGTGTGAAAAATCCATCTTTTAGGTAGAAAAATTGCGGCTATTGCTTGCATGCTTGATAAATAAAGGATATCCCAAGTGTGAAAACAATTCTCAAAAGGGATTGCGTTGAAAGTATTGGCTCTAAGGAATATGTCAGATTAGTTGGGATTTTAATCCTGTATATTCCACAATATGGTGTTACATACATGATAAAGTAATTGCAATTTGCCTTTTTAAAAAACAGACAAAAAACTAGACCAAGTACTACTCAATGTCTCGGTACATAACATATTTGTTCTACCGAAAGAATATGACAATGTATTGAACAAAAATGTCTTTTTTGTTATTCTGACTTTTATTGCTCTATCAAGCAATAGTATTCACGTCCCATATACGACACCAATGTACATATTTTTAATAATATTAAAAATAAATAAGGACCCGTTTGTTTTAAATACTCAAGTGATTAATTTTATTACAGTATTTTTTTCTCACAAAAAATTTAAATTTGAAACGTCAGAATTACGAATCATGATTGGGTATACCTTCTAAACGAGCCATAAAATTTTAATTTATTTGATTTTGTAAATTAATGAGAAGGTAGTTTTGACATTCTAAAAGTCTAAAAAATGGCGTTAGGTAATTTAAGGGTCCGTTTGTTTCACGCGTATGAACCCATGATTCTAAATAATGATGTTAAGTTATTTTAGGGTCCATTTGTTTCACGTATTTGAACTTATAATTCTGATTCTGTTTCTCACAAAAAATTTAAATAAAAAAATTTCGGCCAATAATTCTCTCATAAAATTTAAATTCAGAATTAAAATCACTAACTTAAATACGTGAACCAAACAGATTTTTAAAAACATCTAACATACTTTTTAATATTATGAGAAATACAGAGTACCAGTACCAAAGTGATAGTTCAAATATTAGATAGAAACATATTATATGATTATGTATATAAGGTTATATATAGCGTGAGAAAGAAAATGTCATGAAAAAGAACTGGATAACTAACACGTGAAAAATGCTGCAAATTGTGCAATTCAATGGCCTTAAACAAGAATTAAGAACTTGTTTAAAGAAGTCCCAGGAACAGATTGGAGGGAGTACCAACTTGGGGAGTAGAATCCAGCTACTACATATAGGTCTCGTTCATTTCACCGATTCGAGTTTTCAGTTTTAAGTTTCTACAGTAAAAAGCTCTCAGAAAATGTCACATCTAACTTTTTCTGCTACAGTGAAAAGCTCTAAAAAAATATCACATCTCAGCTTGAATTGAAAACTCAAATCTGCGAAGTGAACGAGGCCATAGTAGGTAGATATTGTACTTTCTTCAACTCTAAGACAAAACGTCACATTGAAGCTGAAATTTTTACCGAGTTGAGAAACAAGTCAAATTTCGTACTTCATGTATCAAGTGGAACAAATGTCAGAAGTTCAAAATCTTAGCAAGTCTTCTACTGCTGTATGTTAGACTACTGTCCTTGTTTTCGGCCAAGTCTATCCTATGAAAAATACTCAAAGACACTACTTGTGTTGAGCACCGTCATTATCTAGTGCTTAGCACCGTCATTACTTATGTTAAACACCGTCATTAGTAGTCATTAGTAGAAAACGGATTTTATATTGCGAGACTCATCTTCTATTAATGGTGCTTAACACAATCAGCGCTTATGTGGTGCTCAACATAATGAGTACCCTGTAGCATTATTCCTATTCTATAGTATAGAAAGAGCTGGTACTGAACCAAACAAATTGCAAATAGAACAAAGGCCTAAAAATAGGTCCAAATACTAAGATCCCGTTCACTTCACCACCGATTCGAGTTTAGAATTCAAGTTTTGCTAAGTAAAAAACTTTCAGAAACAGTCGCATCTAACTTTTTTGCTACAGTAAAAAACTCTCACATAAAGTCACATCTCAATTCGAATCAGTGAACTAAACGGGCCCTAAAATTTGACAACTATTTATGCCTCGGTGCTATGCCCCGTAGAGGACTAAAAAATAAGGTGATTTTCTCTTTTATCCTTTATGATGCAATTATCACAAAAGTGACTATTAAAATTGTCACGAGACTCGTCTGTTGTACTTTTTGCATGCTACTCGTCTGTTGTATCATTACATCATATGTAGTGATGCATTGCAACACTTTAAAAGAACATGCTAAAACATTATGCTAAAAAAGGAGGAGAATATCAGATATTACATGCCAATCCTAAAATATAGTGCTAATGTTACTTGATATTCTATCATGATAGTAAACTATACAAACAAAGGTTATATTAACTCTCAAACAAGTAAAAAAAGTAAAAGAAGATAAGGAGAGAACCCAAGTGTAACTTAGGCTGTCGTTCTGTCAGCTACTCATCATGAATACTCAACCATTTATAGCTGATTTAAAGTGATTATCATCAACTGTTGAGTAGACATTTCCCTCCCTCACAAGATTTTCGATCGCAATCCTGTCAACACAAGTTTAAAATATTTCAGTTTGATTGGCAGGTCGTCCTTGTGCTCTGTGTATGTGTGTTAGATGTGTTAGAGAGAGAGAGAGAGAGAGAGAGAGAGAGAGAGACGTGATCTTATCATGTGGAATTTTCAGCTGGTTGATAATATAATCAATGCTAGCCCCCTCTTCCCTGGCACTGAAACATGGAGTTCCACTTCAGGAAAATGGGAAAGATAAATACGATAAGGACGAAAGAGGAGGGCAATAAGTTCACACATATTCAGCAATACAAATAATTAAAAAATACAACACAATTACATTAAGATGAGTATTCCACACAAGAAAGCCTTTTTTTTAATTACTTTAAGGTCTAAATTAAAGGAAAAGGAAATAAAAAGAGAAAAAGACCAAAATTGTGTTAGGATCCTACGAGTTTAGCTAAGAATCGGTTAACGAATGGTGTTCCTGGATCCAACTCTAGTTTTTATTACTTGAAATGGAGGATTACAACTCAAGGCTCATTGAAGGCCCTAGACTCAACGAAGAAGAAGAAGAAAATACAGAAATGCAGAAAGTAAGATAGTGGTGGATTTTCGAGTAATCCCCAGACTCCCAGGCAGCTCCTTCAGCATAGAATTCACGATCCCTTCCCTCCCCCCTAGCTAGGCTATTTATTCTCTTTGCTAGTAACTAACTCCTCACCCTCACTAACAGAATTCCACCTCCCGATGCTCATTGCTACCCCAAATTCCCAGCCTGTCCCTGCCCGTCTCTCTTCCCCCTTCTAGCGTATACAAACTTAAGAGGTGGGGACCTATCAAATTGCAACAAAGCCCGTAAAACTGAATAGAACCTTGAAAAGTTATAATTTCATTACCGTCTTTGGTGTGAAAATTACACCAACAAGGCTGCAGTTCAAATGTTAAGTTTGGTATATTCAAGAATACCGTTTTCTTGAGAGCCAGGTTAAACATTTTAAAACAGAATCGTCTAAACATGGCTTAGAGATCAAAAGAATTGATGAAACCAGACATCTGATAAAGTTTTATTTGTAATATTGTATGTAAAGTATAAACAAAAGGTCCAAGATTGTAGATACTCACAGGCACATAGGATGGTGCAAAAAATCTAACACCTTTTCTTCAATGCTCTTTGATGCATCTGTATTAGACTGGCCAAATGACTGAAGACGAGAAATACGAGAACACAGAACCAGTAAAGAAAACAATTAAAAACTCAACTAACTAAATCTCATAGTTGTATCTCTTACCTGATTAATTGGATTTGTCACCTGTGGCTGAGTATTTGCACCACCATGTAGTTTCTATCAACAAACACACGACATCAGAAACAAAAGCAGAAGTATTCATATGCATGCAACCACCATGGAATCCCCAAGACAGAAAAACCCCCCACAATGCAATGTTACATGCAAACTTCCACTTCCAATCAGATTTAGTATGTAGACCAATACCCGAGATCTGTTGTTGTAAACATGAACATATATGCACTCAATAAAGTGGCTTGCAATCTCATTGTAGTCCTCCACAGGTCTGAAACCACACAAAGTACAATGTCGAAACTTAAATACGAAATATAAAAAACCAACATGATATGCAAAAGAAGGGACCAAAAAAGAGCCACCAAGAGGCGTTAAAGTAACAATAAGTCACTGACATGATATATAGAATCAAGTATATAAGAAAATGGACATTAAAAGAACCAGCTAAGAGGTATCTAATTTTACTTTCAAGGTCAAGATATTCAATTAACACTTGGAATGATGAATCAACGAAAACAAAAGGCAGGCAAAAAATTGAAGAAAATAAGATAACAGTTTCAAAAGTAATTTTTCCTTGCCCTGCATGTTCCCTAGTCCATACTACCATCAAACTTACAGAGCAAGATCTTTCCTTAGACACCATTAAAAAAACTCCCAACAACATTTAACAGCACAATAAATAAAAGCTTACTATACAACAAAGCTGAATCCAAGGTTATCCAGATCAAGTCAACGTATGTTCATCAGAGTAACTACACGGTGAAAGCTACTAGTCCACAATTTTATAGGCACATATTCTCGCTATGAAGTTGGCTCTGCCTAGTATTAAAATCTATATGCTCGCCAGAATTTAAATGTTTTCCACGGGCCACAGCTTTTGGAATTGGACCTGACTAAACAGATAGCCACATCAACCAACTATCAGAAAAGCTAGCAATATGAAATCCATGGGGCTTGAAAAGATTTTTTTTTAAAATATTATACCAATATACCTAATATATTAAACAAAGCCTTCATGGTAACAGTTAACAAAAGCAAGGAAAAATAACATTCTCAAAAGTTTCATCATCTATTATGTCTGCAAAAGTCAGCTACTACAATGCTATGTTCCTTATCAAGTACGTTTGAAACCACAAGCTCCAGCAAAGGATTTTGCTACAAAAAGTAGAAAGTGATAGAAACAATAAGAATAAAAGAATCTGTACCTAATGGAGAAGACATTTAAGCTCCTTTTACCCTGAAAGCTTTTCAAGCGTCCATGGGCGCAGACATACATTCCATCCCTAAATAAAAGAAAAGAAAATAAAATAAAATAAAAAGAATAAGAGAGGGACATAGGCAATTTAATACATCATTTTGACTCAAGAACAATCCAAAACCTTAAACTGCAATTGGTTGAAAAGATAAAAGATGGAACTGTAAAGAAAACTCAGGTACCACAATCTTCAATTTACACTCAAGCCCGCGATATCTTTCAAAGCTTTTCTTTCAACTTCTATGAATTCCAATAGTCATTTGTGGTTAGAAACAAATCCAATATATCATGTCTATATGTTTTCTAGTACACGGAAACACATTGAAACAGAGAAGAAATCTGAACTCATTTCACGCCACTTGTACATGTGAAAGATCAAGAAATATTCAGGTTAAGCTACGCAGTAATGCACACATAAGTGGAAACAAAGAGAGACAAGTTAAGAAAACGAGAAGGCATACAAGATTCCCTCCATTTCGTTTGCGTCTACGGCTTCGTGAAACCTATAACGACAAACAAGAAATTAACACTTCATCATACATTAAACAACAACTAACAAAAACCATCAAGGCAAAATCATGAAAAAAGATGATTGATAAACCCACCACTTGTTACAATCAATCCTTCCCGTACCATCATCAAGCATGAATGTGACATCGGAAACTCTCCCAACTCGGTCACATATAATTCCTACTAGTTTCACCTAAACAGAAAATCAAAATCTCAAGTCTCACCAAAGAAAAGAAATCCAGAAATAACTACAACGCTAAAACTCAAATTATCAATGCCTACATTGTTCACATCCACGCCATCAATGAGAAACTCCGATTTCTCATTTCCCGGCATAATCGCATCGTTTATCTGCTTCACCGTAAGCGGAAGCAACGCCTGAACGTCGCGATTCTGCAGAAGAATAACTAAAAGCTCATCACAAAATGAAAATTCAAGCTCTAATAATTCACTCTAATGTAATCTACTTCTCTACTTCAGTAAGTTCTTCCCATTATGTAACGAAATTTCGTCGTTTTCTCGGCAACCAAACAAGTAATAATCATCTTAAACAATTTAGATGAGATCAAATGGTAAACACTTCATAGCTTTGGCGTACGAATAATCAAAACCCTCAGTTAAAACCTAGAGTAAGAAAGACTGGTTTCGAGTGCATTTTCCGCTATTTTCTCGAGAGGATTCCCGCGGAAAGAGGAAAGGGTTTTACCTTGGCCGGAGAGAAGGAAGTGTCGGGAGTCTGGGTGGCCTCGGAGGGCATGAATCCGCCGCCGGAGAAGGCGGCGGCGCCGTCGAATTGGCTGCCGTACATCACTCTGTAGAACCCTTAAAAATGTGGCGAGAGGGAATCGGAAGATTTTTTTTTTCTTTCTTTGTTTTTTTTTTTTTGAAAGGGAATTGGAAGCTTTAAAGTTGGACTAGTATGAACTTTTATAAAGAAATAACCAAAAATAAATAAGGATTATAACAAGGTGGTGCGGAAAATTAAAATTATAACTTTCTCCGGTAAGAGTTAAGACCCCTACTTGCAAGCTCAATTTCTGACTTTTGTTCCGGTCAAAATTATATCCGATTAAAAATATAAGAAATTTTTTAGTACGAGATATATCAGTAAGTTAAATTTTTTTAACCGTTAAATTTATATATTTTTTAATTTTTTTCTTAATTTTATGTGAATTTAACGGTCAGAAAATCTGACCTATCAAAAAAGATTCCTAAAAATATATGGAGAATAAACAATTATGATACAAATTTAAGGCCTGAAAATAAAGAACGGAAAGTTTTTATTTTTGTACACTACGTTAATTGTAATATGCATTTAGTATAATGTATTTTTAATAATGTTAAAATGACTTTTGAAATTTTTTTTTTTAATATAATGGGGCTTTCTTAGGATATAAAATATCAAATCTGTCCTTATTGAACTGTTAAAAAAAATCTTCGGAAGCTTAAGGATTTGGGTGAGATGAGAGGAAGCTTCGGAAGCTTAAGGGTATATTGGATCATCTTCTTGCCTCAGAGGAGTATTATTAGCGTCAGCGCTTTAGAGTAGAATGGTTAAAAAGATGGGATAAAAATACCAAGTTCTTTCATCAGAAAGCATCTAGGCCCCGTTCTTTTCACTGATTTGAGTTTTGTTACAGTATAAAGCTCTCAGAAACAGTCACATCTAACTTTTTTGTTATAATAAAAAACTCTCACATAACATCACATCTCAATTCGAATTAACGAACCAAATGGGCCTGAGACCGGATATGGTTTTCATGCTATCTTCTTCCAAAAGCATTGGAGTACAGTAGGGGACGATTTGTGAGAGTGTGTCCGGGGTTTTAAACAATCATGAGACGGTGAAGGCATTGAATGATACTAATGTGGTGCTTATTCCGAAGACCAAGGACTCGAAACATGTTTCGGATTACAGGCTTATCAGTTTGTGCAACGTGACTTATAATAAGGTGGTCTCAAAAGACTTCAGCAAATAGGCTTAAGTGGGTGCTCCCTCTTATTATATCGCCGGAGTAAAGCGCTTTTGCTCCGGGCCGCCTTATCTCCGATAATGTACTTGTGGCTTTTGAGGTGTCACACTCAAATATTAGGAGAAAGGTGGGAGGTCGTGTTGGCTTGATGGGACTCAAGTTAGACATGAGTAAAGCTTACGATTGCATTGAATCATCTTTCTTGGAGCATATGATGAAGAAACTTGGTATTGGGGACCGGTTTTGTAAACTGGTTATAGACTGAGTTACTAGGACGACTTTTTCCTTTATAATTGGATGGAGTCCGCAGGGCTTGGTGCAGTCGAGGAGAGGGGTTACGACATTGATAAGGCAGGCATAAATGAGTGGATCTCTATCGGGAATTGCAGTAGTTCGGGCAGCCCTTAGGGTAAATCGTTCGTTCTCTGCGGACGATTCAATATTTTAAGTAAGGCAACGATGGAGGAGGGTAGGGCTATTCAAGAAGTGCTTCAAAAGTACGCTAAAGTGAACGTTTGGTTCATGGATTCAGAATTATTCTCGATTTACGTGTATTTTTGTGTGAGAAAATACTATAGCGAACTACGAATCATGATTCGAATTATGGCACGAATACACCAACCAAACACAGAGGATCTCTTACATGATAAATATTTGGGACTTCCTTTTTTTATGGAAAGGAACAAGAGGGCAACCTTTAATTTGGTGAAGGATAATGTGGTTCGCAAACTCCGATTGCGGCGAGGCAAGCTTTTCTCCATGGTTGGTAGGGACAATTTGATCAAAGCCGTTGCACAAGCTACGACCACTTATACTATCAGTGTGTTCCGTATACCCCAAGCGCGGTGTGATGAAATTCATGGTCTTATTTCTAGATTCTAGTGGGGAGGGGATGAATATAATCAGAGATTGCATTGGATGAGGTGGGAACGATTATGCAAACCAAAAATTGGAAGATGGTGTGGGATTCCGGGATATGGCTGCCTTTAACCAAGCCTTACTGGCTAAACAAAGATGGAGAATTTTGCAAAATCCTACTACTCTAGTGGCCCGGATTTTAAAGGCTCAATATTTTCTGATGGGTCCATTTTAGAGGCCGCGATAGGGAGTAATCCTTCTTACACTTGGTGAAGTTTACTTCAGAGAAAAAAGTTTTTGATCAAGGGTCTCTAATGGAGAGTGGTTTCGGGCAGAGTATTACTTCTGCCCGCGACTTTGTTCACCAGGAATAGGTATTTGACCGTCGGTAATGGAACGCTGAACAAGAATATGGATTGCTGCCAGGAACCCAGGTCGAATCGTCGGTTGATTTGAGGGGAATCTGTTGGCTTTTTACAGAGCAGAGCGGAAGCTTTCTCGTGAGAGAGGGAGCAGACCAACGGGAAGAAAAATGGTAGAAAAAAGGAAACCAGACTGTAGACATTAACTCGAGTAATTGGAGTTTGAGGAGTGGGTGAAATTCACCTACTCGAATTATTACTCGAATTTTAAATTCAAGTTTTGGTTTCCGAACGCGTATTTCAGCCCAAAATCCAACTCGAGTTGGGCTTACTCGAGTTTAGTCCATGAAGTGAATGCCCCCTTAGTATCTTTGACGCCCCCTTGGATTCCTAGACCCCATTCTTTTCGGCCCATCACCCCCATATACAGAAGATTTTGAAGGATTGGAGAACTTCATATGGAGAGCAGTTCATGAGATTCTCCCATGTTTTGTTAATCTTGGCAACAGAGGAATCCATTGTGATTTAAGGTGTCGAAGTTGCATGGAGGAGTGTGACCAAGTTTAATATGGAAGATGAGAACGAGCGGGAGTCTAAAACCTCTCGCTTGTACATATGAGGATTGTAATATATCACTATGATTTCTTTACATTAATGTTTCATCTTGGTTGGAAAATATGTCTGCATAAGATAGAAACTTTTCCTAATTATTTCTTTACGGAAACACAATGAAAGAACCATAATAAGAAAAGAAGGCAACATCCTTTTTTTTTTTATTTCTTAATAAACTTTGTTAAGAAAATGAGGTTAAAATTTAGTTGACGAGTGGTTTTCATTAAAAAAAAAAAAAGGTGTGGGAAGAGTAGGGATCGCAATAAACTTCCCAATCAAAAAGTATTTTTCTCTTTTGCCTTCTCTAAAAGAGGAGCAAACCTTTTTTATCCTTATTTTATATATTTTTCTTTAGTTTTAACCTTATATATTCTTATGGTAATAAATGCACCATTTTCCAAATCTACATAAAAGAAAAAGAAATAGAATGAATAGTCAAATAGCGTGTTCCAAAACCCCACAAGTAATCCGCAACTACCATATATTCTATCTAATTCAAGTTTGACAGCCCTAAAATAGTTTTCCATCATGATTAATATTTCAAACAATGTTTAATCGAGTGATCTTTTTCTTTTTTTTTTATTTGAAAAAAAACATATTGAATAGATAATCCAATACAAATGAGACTCTATTTTCAACATTGAGATTAGCTATCCGCTATCCATTTCGCCAAGAAGCGGCTTTACTATCTGAAAGGCCAGTCCTCTATTTCAGTCTCTCGTATGATCAATGGAAATCTTAAGTCACAACATATACAAAATAAATTACCTTAATTTAATTTAAACCCTTCACTACCAAACCTTGGTGCTATTTGCCACTTAGCTTCAAAAGATAGAAGCACCACTATATTTCTATTATCAATAAAGATATAGAGATGTAGGCTTTGACTTATTTTCGTGTAAATTTTCTGCTAGTGTGAAAAGCTCTCATTTGTTAGTAAAGAAGATAAATTTCCGAAACCAAAAAGGGTTTTACAAAATTCATCACCTCTATATATATGTAAGAGAAAATGGGTGAATTCACCTTTTAAATGCATTGTTCTTAGATTTTTATCATTTATTATTGATTAATACTTTTTTTATTAATGTAGTTATTTGATTAAAATGTATTAATCAAGAATAAAGAGTCAGAATCTAAATCTCATACATTTTAAGGAGTATTTATCTTCTTTTCCCAAACATATATAAATGCATACATTACGGCTTACAAAATTGTTATTTCTAATGACCAAGAAGGCAATACAAAATGCATACAATTAAAAAAGACGAACTCATCACGACTACTTTTTTCTTAAAAAAGAAGAATGTCTATAGAAAATATCAACTGATTTTACAACTCAGGTTTCACCAACTCATCACGACCTTAACACGCAAGTATGCGGACTACAATATCACAAGTTTCACTCTTCACACGAAAAGCAAACATATTAAAAAAATACATAATATGATCTAAAAGGCCCACTTAATGCACCCGCGAGCAAAGTTTTGTAGTTTTGAAGAGCCCTCCAAAGCAAGACAACCATTAAACGATGTAGAAGAAGAGTTAAACGAACTTGAAGCAATAGAAGAGCAGAAATGGTCCCGGTGATGTTCGCATTTGGGCATTATTAATCCATCAATACCCCCGAACAAGACGGAGCCACGCGCCGCCGTTAACGACGGCGCCTTCGCTCTAACCTTCTTAACCGTTTTGTGGCCTCTCTCAATCAGCTTCTTCCATAACCTAACCCTAAGTGTTTGTTGAGACACCACGGTTCCGTCGGCACGCGGCGGCGACCTAGCAGGCACGTACCGAGGGGCACGCGCCTCGGGGGACGGTAGCAGATCGACGGGCGGGGGGCGGAAAAATTCGCCGGTTGGCGGGTCTTTGGGCTTTCCGGGTTGAGATTCCCAGTTGAAGGGGACTTCAGCGGGAGTTCTAAAGTTTTGTAAATGTGAAGAGCAATTTCCCACTGAGGAGTTTCTTGAGAGAATCTTCTTCACAAAACGCTCGTCGGCTTGGAAGACGGAAATTGGCGGTTTTTTAGGGTTCTTCCGGAGAACTTTTCCCATCATATTTTATGATTCTGTTTTATGGGGTTTGAGTCATCGTTTTTTTTCTGTTTATATAACCAGTTTTTTTTTTGTTATATATATATATATTTATATTTATAAGTAGAAGAGTTTAGAGGCAGAGATTAATATATTTGTTGGTATGGTAAGTTGGTCAAACCCATATCAGCAAAGAT